ACACTCCCAGAATTCTGCATCTTTTTCATAAACAGAAAGTACGTTATTTACGGACTTATCTGTAAAGAACAAAGCAAAACCTTTGTCAACCCCATCTTCTCTCAATTCCTCATCATCTTCCTTTCCAAATTCAACCGGGAAGTACAAAGAACCAAACAAAAGTTCTCCAACTTCTTCACTTTTTTTCCCTCCTCAATTTCCAACATCTTGTCCTCTTCCTTACGCTCTTTCTTTCTCTTCTTTATTTTGTATGTAACTGACTTGTTCCCTTTTCTATCTTCAATCTCTTGGTCAACTTCCAAGAGTGAAGGCTGGTCAGAAGCCTTCCTCTTAACCTTCTCAGTTTGGTCTTTAGGAACCACATTTTGAGAAATCAAACTCATCTTCTGTAAAAAGGCAACTTCTGCATTAATCAAACAGTAGATAATCGCAGTCACTAACAATATCAACAGGACAAAGATTCTCAAGTTTGCAAATGACAAACAAACTAAAACTGTAGAAATTTAATGTATAAAGAAAAATAGAGAATTGTATAGATATTGATTGTATTATTGATTGATTGAATGTTATATATTACAAATGGTGAGGGGCTCCTTATATAGGAGATGTAGTGGAGTAGGTGGTAGTGGTAGGTGTAGTAGGTGGAGTAGGTGATGGTAGGTTTTAACAGCCCCCCGCAAACTCAAGGGGGATAGGAACTAACCAACTTGAGTTTGGAGAGAGTAACAAAACAAGAAAATAATCTGAAAAATAAAAAATGGATAGGAGACACTGTATGGTCGTGTCAGACCGTTGTAGAAGACTGTATGGTTATGGCAGACCGATGTAGAAGACACTGGCTCGTGTCAGACCGATGTAGAAGACAGTTTATGGGGTCATGTCGGACCGTTGTAGCAGACAATGTTGTGACAGTTTACGGAGTCTTGCTGGACTCTTGTAGAAACTAACCGGAATCAATGTCGGGACAGTTTACAGAGTCTTGTCGGACCCATAAATGTAATATTGTTTGATGTTGTATAGAGTAAGAAATGATTTTGTAATGATGCAAGGAATTGAATAGAACAGGTAAAATATACTAGGAGATACAGAAACAAGATAATGAATGTATATATATTAAAAATAATCTTCTACGGCATGCAAAATCATGCCATGAAAAGTATAGTGATTTATGGCAAGCAAAAAAATATCATAAAAGATTATATATGGCATACAAAGTATGTCATAAATATATTTTAAATAATCTTTTACGACATGCAAAATTATGTTGTGAAAAGTATAATGATTTATAGCATGCAAAAAAATGTCATAAAAGATTATATACGACATACAAAGTATGCCATAAATATATTAAAAATAACATTTTACGGTATGCAAAATTATGCTGTAAAAAGTATAATAATTTAAGACATGCAAAAAAATGTCGTAAAAGATTATATACGGCATACAAAGTATGCCATAAATGTTTTTTTTTACAACTTGACATGTATGCTGTAAATGACAATTACCTTTCCATGACATGTCATATAACGACATTTGTGTGCATGTCATGAAAGAGTTTTTACGGCATGCATTGCAAGTCGTAAAAATTCAATTTTGTTGCAGTGAGGGGGCAATTCGTATTTTAATCAAACCTCAAGAGATGTATTTCTAATTTATCCTAAAATTTTCTATATTTCTCTTGAATATTCTAAAACCTTCTACAACCATCTAGATTACCTTAAGCTTCTCCAATATTTTGAATTCTTCTAAGATGTTGTAGAGTCTTCTGGATTTCCATATAACTTTCTAGAATCTTCAAGATTCTCTAATGATGTGGAAAACTCTAAGTTTGTGTTGAATCGCAATAGTACGTGACTGTAGAAAGGAGTGTTTATGTCTGCCATGGCGGCCTGCTTCTATTCCTTAATGTGTTATGCTTATGGTAATTATGGCAATGGTAGTAAGGGATGGGTTAAGGTTTGGCTTGAGATTGGGGGTTCAATTTGTTTGTGTTAGAAGGTAATGCACAAGCTATGATGGACATGAATCGGAGGTCGAGGGAATTGTGGATCAAAGTGTTACAGTGGTGTGGTGATTCAAGATGTAATTCATTTATGCTCCCAATTTAGGTCATGTGAGGTCAGTTGTGTGAAATGAGTAAAGGATGGGCATGAGGTAGCTCATGTTAGGGTTGTAGAGGAGGGCTCAATTTTTTTTTTTTGGTGTAAAATGCTGATCGGGGTTGATCCCTGAGATGAATAAAAGAAGGTAAGGTTTGGTGTGCAAATCTTTATCACACGGATTCGTAACAAAACAGTAATGGTGTTTGGAATTTTTTTTTTTTTTTTATGAATAATAATAATAATAATAATAAGAATAATAATAATAATAATAATATAAAGATAGGTGATAAAGAAAAGAATAGTGGTGGATATGATGAAAGGGGATCTGGTGGATGTTTTTGGGATAATATTTTATAATAGTATTGGAAGCTGTGTGGTGTTGTGTTTGGTGTAAATGGATGAAAAGAAAAAATAATAAAAGAAGAAAAGTAAAATGGGTCTGTGCAAAACTCTTCTCTCCTTTCAAGATGGGAAAGTTCAAGCTCTCTCACAGGGTGGTGCTGGCACCAATGACTAGATGCAGAGCACTGAATGAGATTCCAGGGGAAGCCCTAGTTAAGTATTACGTTCAGAGATCAACAGCCGGTGGATTTCTCATCACTGAAGGCACTTTGATCTCTCCCACAGACATAAGATGAGATGAGACAATTCTCCATTTGAGGCCTGCCTTAGCCCTAGTCAGACCACCAATCAGGTCCACCGGGCTTTTTCACAAGGATCTGATTGTATTCCGGTCTAGCTGTCAGATCCTTGAAGATGATAAAAGCTACAAGGAAGAAGAGAACGAAGAGGATCTCGAACTCGGCGAATCGAACGAAGGCGAAAACTGAGTTGACCGACCGAGTCAAGAACGATTCTTTCCTTTTTTCGATTTCCAGCTTGTTTGGGCATCTTTGCTTCCACCTGCAACTACGTATGTTGTCTTTCACCAACAATTTCAAAGATTCAGATTCAAACTACAACGACCGACAACAGAGAGAGGTTGCCGCTGTTTGGTTGGAGAGAAAGTTGCTTTCCACTGAGCCGACTGAGTAATGCCGCGAATCGCCAGATCTAACCTGGTCTGGAGCGATTTCACACGGGCTGAGTCACGCTCGAGTCGAGCTAAGGTCAGTAACTTGTAATCCTTGTGCTGAGCTCTGTAGTTTTCTGGATCGAAGCTAAGACATCAAGGAGTGTAGCTCTGGAATCCACTGGCAAGCTTCGGGAGAGAATGAGAGTGAAACAGAGTGCGGAGAAAAGAGGAAGCTTCAAGGAAGAAAATTGGTGGCGACAGGTTGACTGGGTGAGTCGAGGACAGCAACTCGAAGGAGTTGGGCGTGAAGGTGGTGGACTAGAAGAAATTTCAAGGTATGTTTAGGAAATTTTTGCGGACTTAGGTTGAGGTCCGGCGGGCGGCTAAGGTGAGGTTGCCGCCCGCCGGGGAAGCGAAAATATTAGGTTCTAAACCTGCTCTGATACCATGTAGAAATTTAATGTATAAAGAAAAATAGAGAATTGTATAGATATTAATTGTATTATTGATTGATTGAATGTTATATATTACAAATGGTGAGGGGCTCCTTATATAGGAGATGTAGTGGAGTAGGTGGTAGTAGGTGGTAGTGGTAGGTGTGTAGTAGGTGGTAGTAGGTAGTGGTAGGTGTAGTAGGTGGAGTAGGTGATGGTAGGTTTTAACAAAAACACACCCACACATTGAAACTGCAGCCTCAAATATGATCATGGGATGCACAAAACAATACTCAAACAACCCATTAATCTGTTCAGAACCTAAAAATTGAACTTTAAAACTTGAAATTGTGTCTAAGAGCTGAGATATGATGTGGTTGGAACCTGAAATTGAACTTTTATTAGTGTTTGATGATTTTTGCTTTTGCAATTGTTGTAAGTAGTTGTATATACTACTTTTTGGATTATATAAAGTGTTGATTATTTTTTTTTATAAATTTCTTTGTAGATAACTAAGAGTGGTTGTAGAGAAGTTGTGAACCACTTTGATTTTGGTATTCCTTTACTTTTACTTTTATGCGTTTCAATCATTAACTTTGTAACCTCTTTGTAGCAGGTTTGTTTATGTAGTGTTGATTAAAAAAAAATTCTTGGGTTTCTTTATGGATAAGTAAAAGAGGAGTGCAGAGAAGTTGGGCAGAATTATTTGTGTTTCTTTATGATTTTGATTTCATTTATCTGAAAATGAAATGGGTTGAAATTGTTTGATTTATGCGAAATAGGTTATTATGAGATAAGATAGGTCTTTTTCTATGAAATGGGTGACTTCTATGAAATTGTTTGATTTATGTTTTTATAATTTCTTATACTTTGTTGGGTTTGATGTTTGAATATTGCAAGCATATTAAGATGGAAGTATTAACGATGCATATTTAACTAAGCCCATTTTAAAATTGAATGTGTAAATTGCAAGGGTTGCGAGCAAAGGTGAAATGTGGCAACATGTTTCTTCAGTTTATTAAACAAATAAACAAATTTGTAAGTGTGTTTGTTGTTTTCTTTTCTTTTCTTTTAAAAAAAGAAAAAAAACTCTTTTGTCTAATTGTTTATTAAGTTCAACAAGGCAATGGTGGCTGTACGAGTAAGAAATAATGTTCTCGTATAATCCTGTTGATCAAGTCTGCGCTCCTCTAAACGTCGTCGCTTTACTCCCTGAAAACACAAACGTGAGCTAGCTGGCGGGTGTGTGCCGGATACCTCTCCGATGCCTAAGTCAGCAAAATAGACAAATAGGCAAAAGCTCTGTGTATTCGAGAATCAAAGTTGTGTTACCTGTACATAGGTTATGTTGTGAGCTTTTATAGGTTCCGTGTGGCACAATCCTAGTAGGACTATTACTACTCCATGTAGAGTCCTCCTACGAATCACACTCTTGAAAGATAATGATTAGTCATTTCTATTTCTTCTATAAAATTTAATTAACACTTAACTTCTTTTCATTACATATATATATATATATATATCTAAATATTTTTCCCTTTACCAATAAAAAAAGATAGGGGGTTCTAAGGGGGTCTCTGTTTTGCCTAAAATACTAGCAAACAACTTAACAAGGTGCTGATGGGTTGAAGGGATTGAAGAAGTGAGGCTTTGGAGCCATTGAAAATGGATTCCGATATGCCAGTGTTCATGCTCACTTGGGAAGAACTGCCAGTAGAAGAGATGATGAAATCAAGATTATTACTAAAACCCAATTGAAATTTAACAAAAATAAACAGTATAAACAAGACTGATCAGAGTTCAATTGGTCAAATAGATCAAAAACTGAGAAACCTACCTCAAAAACAAGTTATAATCAGATGCAAATTAGCCATGGGCACGGCTCCTCGAATAGAGATGTCCCTATGGGGAGAACATGGGTGAGGCAGCGGTGGCAATGAGGCCATGGATGGGCAAGAGAAAGAGACGGAGGTGGCGCGGGTGCTGATCGATGTCCCAATACCAATTTGATGCCCTCTTGTGCAGAGGTGGCGCTGGGCAGAGATGGAACTTCTGGCCGCCGTTAGTCACTCTCGCTCGCTTGCTCTCTCTCTCTCTCCCTATGTGGCTTTTGATGTATTAACAGTGAGAGCGAGAGGTGTTAGCGCTGGTGTTGTTGCCGCTGCGTGACGTGGCGCTGGTGTTGTTGCCGCTGCGAGAGAGAGACTGACGACTGGGCGCGCGCACGTGCGAGAGAGAGAGAGATTTGCAATTCGCACCTCCAGAAGATCGTCGATTGTCGATTGAGAACAACTTGAAGGAACTTGATCCAGAATAGAGATTCGCTGACTTAGGGCTTCAACAACAAGGATCTAGGGTTCCAAAAAAGAACTAGTAATTATTAAACTATTCAAAATAAAATAAAATAAAATTCAGTATTCAACAAATCGAATCAAATACGAAAAGACATGAAATTCAAATGTAAAAGATCAAACTAAATCAAACAGAAAAAATATAGAAATCTATATGAGCTTTTCATAAATAGAGAGAGAGAGAGAGAGAGAGAGAGAAACTTAGATACTGATCGGGCTTTGCTGTACTTTCTTCTTGAATGATCATCGGTGGGAAGATGATGGCGTCAGAGGATGGTGGAGTGGAGTGACACTGGTGGGAGGATGGCAGAGTAAGGCGATGCCAATGGGAGGAAGAGATATAGCGTAAGAATGAAATAGAGGGAGTTAGGGCTCGTATTATTTGTGATGGACAGACAGATGCACAAAAACATAAAACTATATCTTTTTAATTATTTTTTTTGCCACAGTTTAGTATCTGTTACAACTGATGGATCATTTTGCGACAGATAATTTGTTTCCATCGCTAATGATAACGCCTTTTTGTTTATTTATCAGCGACAGTCATTTTCTGTCTCAACAAATACTATTAGCGACGAATTATTTTATCCGTCTCAAATGTGAAGCTTTTGCGACAGAAATCAATCCATCGCAAAAACTTTCGCAACGGCTTCATTTCCCGTAGCAAATATTTGCTTTTTGCGACAATTTTTAAACCGTCGCAAAAATTTCCGTAGCTAAAGCTCCCTTTTCTAGTAATGTGTTCGCCCATTGCAACAACCACAGTGGAGAAAAAAACCAGAGTCCATAAAAAGGGGGAAAAGAAACGTTGAGTTAAATGTTGTTTGATCTATATAGAAGAATCCTTTAGTTATCAGCAATCCCAAGTTTGAAGGAGGAGAGCCACCTCGTGAATAATACGTCAGGGTTTATGTTTTCAGTAGCACCTTAGATGATACATCTTAAGCACATAATGCACTACTTTTTCATTCTTCCTTCTATTATAATCAGATGATAGAATTGAACTCACATCTTCTTCTTTATTGAGTCCACCACTTAGAATCTAGCTACCATGAGAACTGAATTGCGTAGCTATATAGTTCACTTTTCAAACCAATCCAATTTTTAGGCTGTTCACCAAATCTTTCCTTGGAATTGAGGGAACTATCAAGTAGATCCAATCAAGTATAATAAATATACACTACAAGAAAAATATGATTCAATGGCATTTTCCAGCAAAAAGTGAAACAAAAGTAATTTACTAGCATGTTTTAAAACATGCCACTCAACCATTATATATTTTTCAGTAATATTTGGGATCTTGAATTTGTGGAGGGATTTGTAAAAAAGAGAAAAATTGGAAACTCTGTTCCCTTTCTTTTTCTTCTCTCTCTGTAAACCTCTACAAATCCAAAATATAAACAAAGCCTTAATGGAATTTCACTTAAGATGCCACAAGAAAACAATTGTTTCTTTTTTGGGATAAATTATTTTTTTCTAAATCTGCTTCCCTGCCATTGAAACCCTCATTTTCATCCTCCCCATCTCTCCTTTCTCAATCTCACTTGCATCACACAAGATTAGAATTTTATTGTGAACTGAGTTGGCTTTCATAAAAGTATATGCTTTGTTAAAATCCACCTACTCTCCACCTACTTCACCCACTTAAACCTACTCCACTAAACCTAACCCACTACACCACTACCACCTCCACTTCACCTACTCCTTACCTACTACACACTCACCCTCTTCTATATATAGGAATCATGAATCATTGTAATAGATATCAAACATCAATCTCAATCAATAATACAATCATTTCTCTTTATACATTAAATTTCTACATGGTATCAGAGCAAGGTTAAGCACTTAGTATTTTTCGTTTCACCGGCGGGCGGCAACCTCGCCTTGGCCGCCCGCCGGACCTCAACCTATTCCGCTGATAAAATCAACAAAGATTTGTGCAACTGTAGTCATGTGTGAGGCTGATGGAGAAGAATTCTTCACCTCATATGACGAGACAGTCTGAAACTGGAAACACTGCAACATTCTGCTCTGGAATTCTGCAGCAGCTAGATTATAGCTTGGTTGAGTGCCAAGCTTTGGTTCTTCCACCCACTCTTGAACTTGCCCAGCAAAGTGTGAAGGTTCATGCTCTACGTTTGTTACTAACCGTTGTCAAAGGACCAAAGTCGTTTCAGTCTTTACGCACTGTCGATAATGTTGTGCATGATACATTTAAATTAGCATGTGTTGCAAGGGGGCTTTTAGAAGATGATGAAGAATGGATACAATGCTTGAAAGAGGCTGTAGTCATAAAACAGATATTTAAGTAATCCTGGCATGGATCATTGGAAAGCAGTCAAGCGTGTTATGC